ATCAAATCGATCATCGACTTCTGTGCACAAGCTTCCCGGTACCAGGTGTACTGATGCACTCTTCGATGCTTTACATAAAACCGCGACAACTTCATGCCGTTATTGTTGAGGTCGCTAGGGACATTTTTCCCAATCATGCCGTTCCACTTTTAAGCGTCTACTCCCACGTGAGCATTAAAATTTAACATTTTTTTTGTTAAATCTTTTAAATTTAGCCTTGAGCAACCAGTAAGAATGTCGTTGCGATGAGCATTTTTCATCTGCAAGTAGGCTAAAGCTTGACTGCTATTACCAGAGCTTTTCAATTAAAAAGCGAAATTTACAGCCGTCACTAAACCTAGATCTGTTTCGCATGAATTACTTGTACTATGGTATTAACATTGATTGTACGGCAGATTATGTTGCGGGTGCCACTGTTATCATACGTCTTGTATGTTAAAATTTAACAGTTTTTGGTCTCATACCCTGGATCACTAAAGAGTTGTTTTAAATGTTCAAGCCGTTAGATGTATTTCGGTTTCATTAGTTATAATGAACAAATTTGTCGCCTAATGAGTTGCGAATAACCCGGGGGTGGTAATGGGGTACCGGTCACTTCACTGAATGATGACTGCGCCGCTGTACCGAGCTACTGCACACTTGTCTAACAGCGGCACCGACGTTTCAGCCCTTCGCGTTATGTACACGGTGCTCGCAAAATTTTTATGCAAGTTTGATCATTACTTGCCGACGATTGCGCTTATGATGAACAGACAGCAAGCGTAATATGAAATTGTAAATGACATAAATGTATGCTAATTACACACGTGACAGATATCTGTTTCTAAAAATCAGTTAATCAGATTTGATTCGAAGTAACATTTAATCGAGGTTTAACGTCGCTGCGTTTGACTTTGTTGTACCTGAGCATTTACAGTAAGAAAAGCGATGTATCGTCAAAGTAATATTAAATTATATTGTGTTTATGTTTACGTTCCAGGCTGTTTACAAATTTGACTGCAGACATATTTTCAGTTGTTACGCATAGTTGTAGCGTTACGTTCAAACATAAACGTTAATTTGCTTTAGCTTATGTTATTAAATGTTCCGCATTTTATGACCGTCACTTTCAGGTCAGAACGTTGGTCTTCGGCTTTGTTGATATACCATCAGATGTCTAATCATGAGTTTGACGGACTGGGGAAAGAAGATGCAGCTTTTTCAGCTGACTGCAATTCCATGGAAAACGACAACATCACGGAAAAAGCAAAACCGGAAGAGGTGCTCGTAAGCAGCGATGGCCTTCCAGTTCCGGTAGCACCTAAGAACTCGTTGTGCAGCAAAGGCATGCGTCAGAACGCGTCGCTTGGCAACCTTTTTGGGTAAGTGTTGTCATGCTGTAACGTTGATGTTTTTTAGCTTGTTTTCTGCTGATGTGCATTTTTTCAGTCAAGACAACGTCACGCCGCTTAGGTCGCTTCCCACAGTGCGTAGTTGCGACTTCATGGCCGCCGGCAATTTGACCCCTCCATTCCGCAGCGCTAGCTATTTGGGGTATTGCTGCGATAGTTATTGACCGACGTGTTCGTTTTAGAGCTGTTCTTGCAGGTCCCGTCGAATGAGTGCCAACGTCAGTCCCGGTGAATCTAGCCTTAACAGCCTAGAGTTGGAAGCAATTGCGGCCGTGCATGAACTGCAGTTCGCCGTCAAAGACATTTACGTCAGTGAAATGCTTCCGCGTACCTCCGAGTTGATTTTCCTGAACATCACCACTCTTGAGGTAAGCAGATTTTTTCTTCAACGGACCACATTTTCATGTTACTGTTTATTAATTAATAAGTAGCGTTCTTAAGTAAGCAGCGATGCATTTCATCATCACTATGCAAAATACCGAGAGTGTAATAATTAAATTATTAAAACAAACAAAAGTTACACTTGTCATTTCGCCGAACCGCTTAATCGCCCCGTTTTTTGCAGCTGTGTTATGGCATTTACGGTGCACGGGCACAAAACCATCACACTCTTGAACTCAACAACATGTTTAGCACAGGCGTTGAATCAAAAGTCATTCATACCTTGGCCGTGTATTTATCAAAAACCAGTGGCAGTTCGTTTCAAGATGCGGTGATCAGTCGGCACTGAAACCTAACGATTTGGGCGGCCCTTCCGTCGCCCCAGCTATTTTCAGTTTTTACAAATGAATGCCGGGCTCGAGAATTCAACTACATTACAAAATATGCTGATAACACGGCGATCATCTCTTCTGTGAGAAGCGTCTATGATGTAGTGGAATATGCAAAAGATCTTGAAAACTTGTTCAGCTCTACCAGCTCCAGAGGACTTGTTCTCAACAATCAGAAACATGACTATGTATTCGTAAATTGTATATTCATGACTCGAAACACACGCAGTAAAGTTTCATGGGATGCCTCGAACAAGGGGTGCTCAGCATCGTTTACCTTGGCTTAGTCATAAATGAAATTTGACGCTGAGTGACCACCTGGACTACGGAACGGACTACAAGAAACTGAGGAAATTGTCGTATTATGACACGCATTCGTTGTGATGTCGCTCGGAACAAAGTCCGTTTGCAGTTTGTGCGAACCTGCATCATCCCGATGATTACTGACGCCCCTAACGTATATTTGGGTCTGTCAGTGTGAGAGCTTTCACTGTTTGGCGTCGTTGCATTATATCACTAGCTCGTTCGAGTGGACTCCTTTTTTCAGACACTGCCTCATTGCTGACTGCAACTGTTATTTCGAGCACAAATTGTTTCGTCAGCAAGATCTTGAATGACGAAGAGCATCTACGGTACAAAGATACGGTTAAAGAACAATTTTTACATGATGGGATTCGTTCGAATTGATCTACATACCGGCGGGAACAGAGTCCTTTCGTATATCTGTTCAGAATCCTCGCCTGCTGCGCTCCTTAAGTGATACCAGTAAATTTAAAGCCAACTTTAATCTCAATGTTGAAAATCGCATTTAATTCAGTGACATAGTCTCTGTTTATCTTTGTTTGCATCAATATTCTACCTTTACTGCTGTATATGCGAAGTGAGGTAGTGCCACGAGATAAAAAACAATGAATCCTGTCCCTGTTATAGCGTAATAAGTTTGAACTTGGCCAATATAATTTGATGCTCTGGCATGTACGTCAACAAAGGTACACGTGGCGTTCTGAGTTGACTAGAAAGGTAGATGAGTGAAGTTGTGAAGCCAAGACGTGTTTGCAGGTTGATGGAAACAAAGGAACAGCGTACCTTCACTCTGTAATGCGAGTTAAACGATACTAGGTTTAATTGTGTTGAGTTATTTAGACCTTGTGCAGTAACAGTCCCTCTAAGGACGAATTACGTCGCCCTGCGAATCCGGTGAATAACCTCATTTGTGCTACGCTGCTCACGGTATGGAGAGCGACCGTTGGCTATTAAACCCAGCATATCATATAATATATCTTTTTCGTTCATATGTAAATGGTTTATAGAAGAACGATGGAGCGACCTGCACAAGAACTCTTTGCTGTTGTTAATGCCCAAGTCCTTGGGAGCATTCGTAAATCATCATCCGATCCGACTAAGATATCCAAATGTACTGCTTCGATATCAGCCAGAACAACAATCGCGGTTCAACCTAGTTGCGATTGTTACCTTCCAGAGTGGTAATCCCTCCGCACGGGTCAGTCAGTCAGTATCAGTAGCCGCCTGTCCTTTCGTGTCACGGTTTACTGGATTATTGCCTTTATGCCTAAGCCTTTTAATTGGCTCGTGCATGCTCGAGTATATACCGTGGCTTTAGTAAATCCTAACTTGGGTCGTATTATCGTCATAGCCACACATTACCTTGCCTTACCAACTAATTTCCCCACGACTTGTTTGAATCAGTCTCCACTGTAAAATGTGTTGGGCTAATTGTACATAAGAGCCTCAGCTGGTTACTGCGGATGAATGAATGATTGGCAATGTGCAGTGATCGGTTTCGGTGTTGTGCAGATTGAGGAAATGGAGCTTTGACACAGTGGTTCTGAAACAGCTCACCCAATCCTATGTTCTATCGCTTTTCTTTTGCGCCGCACCGGTTTCAGGAAAAAGAAATTGGCTCGCGTTTGTAGCATTTTTAAGTTACTTAATCGACTCTGTGATTGTGGCACATGCAAGTTTTGGCGCATCCGAACCGGTAGCATGATTAAAGCAGCAGTCGCTGTGGGAAGTTCTATTTTAATCCGTCCATTCAACCGCTATGCCAGGGCTAAGTACAAAATCTTTGCAGGTGCCGAACTGCAGATTACCGAAGGTCAGTCGTTCAGCTTGCTGTCCAATGCGTCATCGATCCTAAGTAAAGCGAGAAGTCATTGTGGGCCAGACTCTGTCAGTCGGATATTGATCCACTTTCACTGGTTGTTCAGTTGTTTTGTATCTGTACATAGTTATGTCTAGGGATTTGCAACTTATCGTATGCCTTAGATTTCACTTAAGTCAGCCTGGCTGACTGACTGCATTACCAGTTTGGGGTGAAAAGCAAGTTAGTTTAATTCGATGGCGCTGTAAACTGAATTTGTTAATTAATTTTAGTCTGTGCTGGGGTGGAAGGATTATCACTCTGGACAGTAGCAGTAATCAGTTAGCAACTGTTGTTTCTCTGCTGCGGTTTGACTGTGGCCGTGGCAGCATTAGGCTAAGTGTTAATTTAATGGCAGCATAGATTCACAACGCCACAACCTACATTTTTCTCATAGCTACGTTTGAAAGATCTTTCGTATATCTTCTTCTCTAATTTCCTTCAGTTTATCATTACTGGCAACAGTGGATCCAGCTGCTGTCTTCCACTAACTCTACTTTTGCTGATCATTGGTTTCAACATACATTCCATTTCGGTTAATTGGGACACATTGAGACTAGAACACTTTTGCCATATTAAGCAGCTACCCCACTTATACAAAGTTTTGTTATTAAATATGCATAAAAGATATAAAAGACAAACTTATTTCAGTGAGCAATAAATCCTGTATTGAAATGGATAGTTATTGCAATGCATATTAAATTAATGCTAATACAACAAAAGAATTTAATATTTAAATATTCTTCATGATAAATTGTTTCCAGTTTCCGTAATCGTCAGTATGAACATAGTTAAACGTGCCCCAGGATATATGTGTTGCTCCAAAAATCATTCATTTGAATCTTATTAAAACAAAATACTCAATAGATTAGAAATGCTATTTGATATTTAAACATTTAATTTATATAGTAAACCTGTACGTACGTACTTTTCAGCTTCATTGCGTTCCTGTATGAAGTGTCGTAGTAACCCATCAGTAGAGTTTTTGGCATCCTGTATAGTCACTCGTTCAGAGTCAGATGTGTCATCTTCGTCACTTTTGTCTTCCTCCAATTCCTCATCTTGGTATGTTGATGGAATTCTTTCGACGATGTCCATTCTCATTATCTTCATTTTCATTATAGCATTCGACATTATTGTCCACACATCGAAATTCTTCATAGTTTCTAAAATTGTGCACTTTTAAATTGGCTTCATATTCACTTAAATTGTTACAGACATGTTCTGAATGCATAAAGACGCAAAGATAAAGCCATTTCTGAATTGTCTTGCTGCCTATTACTCGCTAACTCTCGGCAACGGACTGTGTCACCTGGAGAAGGTCTTTGAACTTACTTCCTTAGCTGTGGAAGATGATGTCAGTAAATTTTCTTTCATCGCATCTAGGATATGGTTCACCAACTTTTCACGGCACTACATCTTCAATTTTGTTTATGATTCCCATAACAGTTGCCTGCACCAAGGATTTTGTGTTGACAAGCAGAAATTCTAGCTGAATATTTTTCAAACATTCTGAACACTTAGGACTTACCGCATAGTTGTCAAGAATCAGAAGAACCTAGCTTTTTTCACTTGTAGCTACTCATCCAACCTCAATAACTATTTTATTAAAATTTCAGTCGTCATCCACGCATTCTTAGCATCGTACTCGACTGGTATACTAACCATTCTCAGCCCATTAAAGAAGCGTGGCTTTGTGCTTTTGCCAATAACCGACGGCTTCTTTCATCAGTTTCTGACATGTTTGAACAGCATGGCACCGTTATGCTGTCCATTTCTCTCGTAGAAATCATTCAAGTTTTACAGAGTTGTAAGAAAGAACGCCATCCGGCGTGGTAGGCCGGTTCTGTCAGCATTGTAGATTTCAGCACAAAATATCTGAGTTAATTTGTGTACTTTCTTGGATTTCCGTTCTTATGCACTCTCAACATTAGTAATATCTTTTACGTGTGTGCTTTCTTGAATTTAATCTGATGTCTTTATTTCTGTTGGGGCAACCAACCATCCTTTGCTTTAAAATTATCATTGTCCAGCCTTTTAAGTAGCTCCTCTGACT